CATAACGTGTCCCACGCGTCGATGGGTATATGCTTCGATTTTTCCGCCCACGAGAACGCAAAGAGAGCCGATAAAAGCCGTCTCCGGGCCGACCGGCGCGGCCGCTTGATTTCCCGCTCCCGACACGATTCTCAGAATGGAATTGTCGACGATTGCCGCTCGTCAATTCTTCGGGTCAACAAAGCGGTCGACTACATCCACTACCAAGGTCTCACGAGTCACTAGTCAAGAGCAAACAGCAAATAACTCGCCTCAATCCTGCCGAAATGCCCTAACTTCCCTGGATAGTATCCCCTCGTTTTGTTCCTAACACGAGAATACTCGACCACGTGTCTATGATCGTGACGTGATTTCAATAGGACTAGGACCACTATTCCAGAAAGAGAGAGAGAGAGAGAGAGAGAGAGAGAGAGAGCCAGCAAAGGAGAAGAGCTGAAGGAAAGGAAGAGGTAAGAGCATAAATGGCCCGCGCAATCGATCGATTCCTTCTTGCTTCCATGACGTTTTCCTCTTTTCTCACCCTTCTCTCCTGTACCAGCCGTCCCCGAAAGTACGATCGTCCATCAGACTGAAATTTTCCATGGATCATGAAGATGATCCTAGGGATCCGTTTCCCATCAGCCTGTTCTCGAGCCATCGTAGTTACGGGTGTTACTTCTCTTACGTTAAACGCGCAGATGATAAAGGCGTAGGACTCTTTGCTGCCACCGCTATTAAGTAAATCGAAAGTGGTCTCGTTCTTGTTTTCTCATTTGGGTTATTGTGGAAAATGCCAGGGAGCCACTTAAACGAACCGTTGATTGATTTCCCAGGGTCCGTTAAAGCTGAGGTAGGAAAGGATCTAGGTTAGTTTCGTTGTCGTGACTATCAGTGAAACAGAATAAATAGATAAACAGGCAAATAGATAAATAACTAAAAGAAGAGAGACGAAGAAAAAGATTCGAATGGGTAATGAAAATGCAAATCGCGAAAAATAAATCGCTTGCGGAGCGAAGGTCCGATTCGAACGAGGAAATCCATCTCTCCCTCGGACAGAGTCGTATAAAACCGGAAGGACGAAACGGGCTCGCGACTCGCTATTAATCAGAGTCTCGTGAATTAAAGTCAAGACACGAGATGAGTGTTCGCGAGTGTTGAATCAGCTACCGAAATTTAGCCGTTGGAAGACCCGTCGACGTGGAAATCTTCCACGTGCTGTACCTTTGCGGAATTTCGTTGCTATATGTAGGTAGTACTTGATCGCGACATAGGAGGAGAGACAAGAGATTGTACGAAAATGTCCGTTAACAGAGATGCTGTCAGTAGCACGCGAACGAACGGGCGTACTCAACGCTGTCGGGTACGAGACAATAAGACATCATCGTCCGTAGCGAATTACAATCTGTGTCTCCGATGTTTTTGGCGTCAGGCCGAAATTATTTCAAGCTCGGCAGGTGTATTTTCAATGCGTATCGAATCGGGCCGTATTAGACATCGCGTGCAGTTTTATGAATATTTTAAGCCACGGCTGACCCAGATAGTCCTCTCCGCAACACGAAGGCGAAGTAATCTGACCTCGTGCATTGGTACTTCGAGGCTCGTTTACTTCACTCCGTCGCATTTTTCGCTCGTCGCCGCCGTCGTCGAGCATACGGTTACATATCATCTTCATCATCTTTTCCATTCGTCATCTTTCATCCATTCTAGACCGAATCTCGCTCTCCGCGCGCCCACGTTGTCTCTTCCTCGCCTCTTTTATACTTTTTACACATATGCGCGCATACATTTACCATCTCTTTTTCTCTCTTCCACATCGACGCTTTATCTACGCGAATGTCACTGCTACTGGGAGCGCGCGATTCGTCGATCGCTCGTCCAGAAACGTGGAGGAACGATTTACAACGTGATTTGTGGATTCACCCATTGTTGCCGCAATCGTGCGGTTTAAAGCGGAAAGTCGGGCGAAAGAACTTTGCCGAGCGAGAATGCCTTAACACATCTCTTGTCGTGGGATAAATGACGACTTGTGCGCGCTTTTGTGCTCGCTTTTGTGCCCGCGGTCGCAGATCATAGATCACACGGTCATCAACTTCTGCTCTCGTACCGAAGAATAACGTAGTATTTCACGGGGAAGCGAAAACGTAATGGATACGGGCATAAAAAATATAAAATTGTCACGCAAAATACTTTATTTCGCGAGTATGAATGGGAGATCGTTAACGCGAGGAGTCTCTCTTCTCGAGGATTGCGTAAATGTGTTAGGCTTCTTCCGAGCAAAGAAGAAGGGTGAGAATCAGCTGAATATTTCGTCAAGGTCGTTGCCTTTCCTAAAATCCGCTTACATGTGTGTGCACGCAGCATAGTGTCGTCGTAAACCCACGTAGACCACATCGCCCACTCGAAGACTCGGCTACCCCGAACGTTTCATTGAGCGTCGAGATTTGGCCGCGCGCCAAGTGACGTCACAAGCGGATGAGGATCCGGGTATTGGTGATGGCGATGTCGTGGTCGAGAACGATGGGCGTGATTTCGACCTTGTTCGTAGAAAGATCGTACCAATGCGAATTTAAATCTTTAGCAAAGAGATTGTCTTTTATCGAAGAGCAAATTTTCCTTTGCATTCTTTCTACTAGAGTTTTCATTGAGGGAGAAAAGTTATGTGATCAAACACGACGTCGAACTCTGTAATCTTTCGAGTGTAAAAAGGACAGTTTGAGATACTTACGTGGAGTAGCGTTAGTCAATGGATGCAAAAATGGAATTGTGTTCCCACACATAATAAAATTGTTTAATATTTGTAGTATAATCTTATTTGATTTGTTCGTTCTTTCGAAAGATGCTGCAGATACATTTCGCGCGGAAGAAGCAAACAAGCGTAGATCTGATTTCAGTCGTTTTTCTTTGCTTGTTTGTCGAGGCTGTATAAGTATATACATATATAAATATAATATACATATATTGACCGTATTTTTTTAAATATTTTTCCACAAATTGTTTGCACTCGTTAAAAATGCAATTTCGATAAATATTAATTTTAACGAAACGACTTAGAAAACTGTCGCGCATATTAATACTGGATTTCGTAGAAAAGAGTTCAAATCCGATTTATGATATTAATATTGAGACGTCCTGCCACGAAGAGGACAACGGGAAATCAACTTTAAGGCACTCTCTTCAGGGCGATCTCTTCGGGGAATTTGAATAACAACCAAGAAAGAGGAATAAAAGAAAAGGAATTGCTTCTTCGTTTCCGGGTTGCGCATGAGTGACTCCTGTCTAGTCATTTAAAAGAATGACTGAACGCTCCAAAGAGTTATTATTCTCGCCAGGGAAAGGGTGATTTTGCCGAATGAATACCTTGCATTTCTTCATTTCTTCAACCTTGAGATGAAGCATTCGGGCAATTTAATTAGCGAAAATTCACTTTTGTCGTCGTGCAGAAGTGCAGTCAACTGTGCTTCACAAACGAAGGCAGAAAGATAAAGGAAACGAGAAACGTAGGAAGAAATCTCCCACCTTACGGTAGGACCGTAAACCTCAGAAGGCATACCATAGTAGTACAAGAAAAGAATCTTAATTTTTCTCAAATCTTTCACTATTATAGTTATATCGAAAACCAGACCGGAGAAGACCCAAGTACATCAATTTATCGTATGAGTCGCCAAGTGAAATGTAATTTGTGTTACGTGAATCGACATCCCCAAGTTCCGGTAACTTACGTTTCGAGAGCCTGAGAGCACGCCCGATGGAAGCGGCGATAAGAGAAATTGGGTCCCTCACGGCTGCTATTAATATCTAATTATGTACGCTAATTATGAATATGCACTGTAAATGTATCTCAGAGAGAGAGAGAGAGAGAGAGAGAGAGAGAGAGAGAGAGAGAGAGAGGAAGAGATAAATCATCTCCGCTATCGCAACTGCGATGCTTGCTCACGTCAGCGACGTAAATTACGCGCTGTCGTTAATCACCGTATTCTTCGAGTACTCTACATTTGCGCATGATTGAGTTCGTGAAAACACACAATGAATCAGGCGACATTGGTATAGGTCATCGTTACGTCACCTTTGCAAATTCAATTTAGACACGCGCGACATATAATATATAGGCCTCAAAATCGATTACGCATCAAACGTGACGTCGATTGATTGTGTCATGTTTTCTCTGTTTATAGCTTACTCATCGTTTCCGAATTTATAGCACTTTATAAAGGAAAATCAAAAGATCACATAAAATTTTCACATCGGCGATAATAGAAAGCTATGACGGACATTTGCTGAACAATAATGTGTTGCCGAGGATAATACACTTAGGGTGCGATTAAAGTCTCACGAATGCTTTCAAACATTTGATTGATCAAACAGAAGAAAGAATTTTATTAATTAACCAATCAAAGATTTAGCATTTGTAGCATCATGGTAGACCGTATCTTTAATCCGTCAAACCAACGAATGACCCTGAATAACGTGCCAAACATTGATTGGTTTTGGTTTCGTTCAATGAGCAAATACTCGACGAATTTCATTTCGCGTAAGATGCTGCTAAAGACGAAGAAAGAGCTGAAAAGGAAGCGTATCTAATAGAGAAATGAGCAGATTCTGGGAAAGATCATTACGTGCAGAGGGTACTTAAGAAATGCTCGTAAACGGTAATCGGCGTACGTTCCCTTAAAAATAATCGATCTCTACTTCGTGATGAGAAATAAATAAACGAAGCTAAACGGCTCTCATCGGTTGTATCGAGTTATAGCGAATCGCAAGAAGCATTTGTTATCGTCATCGCGAGGCAGTAAACAGCAGTTTCATCGAATGTTTCAATCACTTTGAATATTTTAATTGCTATGATGTTGCAAAATGTGAGCGAGTGTAATACTGCAGTGTATGGCGATTGTATTGCGTTAGTGTACCGTGTCAGTGATGATGTCTGGCTGTGTGTTACTGTTGGTGTCACACATATCGGACTGTTCGGATTGTCGATCCTGTACCTCTGCCGTACGGCTTAAGTTGCACTGATTTCTCGTTACCTCGTTCATGTAGGACACCTCTGATAGTGGAATGTAGTAGTAGCCCAGAAAGCGGTCCCACAAGAATCCTTTGCACCATACCTCCACCACGAGCCCGGCATTCATGTCATTCGTTTCGCTACGTAACAAACAAGTTCCATTAACCTTTTGCGAGACCACGAAGAAATATTACTTCGTGAAGTAAACAGCTATGCTTTCAGTACAAAGTAGATTAAACGAAATTTAACAGCGAGACTTTAGCGAACAATTCACTGGCGTCAAATGTTGCGTAAGCGAGCCAAGATCAAGAATGATATATCTTTCTGTGTAGTAACCGTCGACATTTTACACAACAAGACAATCCTTTTTAATCCGCAAGCCAAATTTACTTTAGCTTCCCTTTATATTACTTTTTTTTTAATAATCTATTTAATAACCCATTTGAAAAACAAAGCCCATTCGTAAAAAATTACACTGTAATGGACCGAGGATCTTATCTCAAACAAAAGGAGCTAAGCTAAGGATTGATAATACTGAGTCATGAAAAAGAAGCACGTTTTTTTCCTCCATAATTTTATTGAAAATATTTGCGATTCTTCGCTCAGCAAATTTGGTCGACGGACAAGATTTATTTCGTTTAATTCATTTCGGTAAGATAGAATCCCGTTAAATAAGTGTATGATTAGTCTCAGATTCCTCTAGATGCGCACAAATTACCGGTTGTCCTAGATATTTTAGTGCCGGCGCGCACGCGATAGTTCGCAATGTTTTCGAAGTGTGTAACGTCATAGTAACGGTGCAGAAAATTTTCGAATTGCTAGTAGAAGCTCGTTTAACTAAACAACATTTTTAATAGGTTTCTCAAACTGCGCCTAACTTCCCCGTAAAATTAATTATCGATAACTTACAAGAGAAAATCTTGTTCCCAGCATGGATTGGCCCCTTTCACAGTAACTGTCGTTGACTTCACGTTTTGCAGCTTTAACGTTACGTAGGAGTTGAACTGATCCGCTGAAATTCGATAATCTATTTTTTTAGTCGACCAAAATACGATGTACGTTAAAAGAACGAATACCTCAACGTGTACGAGCGAAATACGTTGTTATATTAAAATCATAACATTCATAACGATGAAACATATTAAATATCTTGATTAAAGTACGTCACATTTATCATTTTTAATGGAATCGCTTGAAGCAGATAAATTACGTTTCGACAGAAAAAAAAATATCGTAATTTTAGTTCCCTATAAACTCGTAATATCAGCGAATGGGATCGTTTTGTTCGCAATTTAAGACCGATCCTGATGACATCCTCGCGCGTTTTATGTGTTCAAGAATGGGTGCACGAAGGGGGACGAACTGTTAAACTCCAATAAGATCCGCCCACACCTTAGGTACCTCCAGTACACGCTCTCCAGCTGCACGCCTTCGATAAGTCGCGCAAAAAGCATAGGCGAGATTTTACGACCCGCGACACGATGTTTCGGGCGCACAGTAGTGCGTCACCCCCGACATTTTACTTTACGAGCTACGAAAATTGTCTGCAAAGCAACTGACGAAATACGTTCGCATTCCACGGCTCACCTTGGTAACATTCAACCACTGAGCACAGAAAAGAGAGAGAATTATTAATAAAAAATTAGACGCGGCATAAATAGATCTTAGTGAAAATAACGTGCAGCTCTCTCTTGACCTGACAAGCTACCAGATATGGAACAAGTCAAATGTCGTTTGCGTGATGAGAATAAACCCCAAGATATTCGCGTTTTTGGGGTGAGAGATACCACAGTGAATGTAAAAATGTGTGATCAATTTTGATAAAACTAAATGCATTCTCGATAAGTTAGTATCGCGAAGTTAGTATCGCATTGCTGCGGTAACAACGAAACATAAAATTTTTCAGAAAATAAATTTCAATGTTTTAAATATTAAAAATGAATTTCAAGAAGTAATATTATTGAAATTCATTTTGAAAAATTTTGATGTAATAACTAATACTGTTTATAGAAAAATAAGAGTATATTCGATATATTAAAATATATTAAAATATGTTCTTTCCTTTCTCATATTTCAATTCTTTTTCTGCAAGGAAACAATGACAATTTTTTAGTTATGTTATTATAAGCAAATGAGCGATACGAATGAATGTAGAGTCAGAACATTGAGTAAATAAATTCTTAAAACTACAAGCATTTATGTATTCGCGAGCGAGGACGTTATCGTTACGCTTTTCAATACTTGCAACAATCGCGTGAAATAATGGTCTTCATAAGTCCATTCTGTACAATGACATACATGTGATATGCGAATGAATATTTAAAAAAGACATAATATGAGTATACAAACGAAGACTGTCAAGATTACATTCTTCATCGTAGGAAATATTGAATGATGCGATGAATGACATAAAAATTCAAAGTTTTTCCGACGCTATTGAAATTATCAATTTATTTTTCCCCCGTTAAAGAAGTTTTCGAAACATTATAGAAAGTTTTCAAATGTATATTATTTTATATTTATTTAAATTCGATATATTTATGATTTTCCACATGGGAATACGTTACATCTCCACACGGAAAAATTATTTCGGTATAATCGGAACGTCACGATATTCTGCTTGAGCAATCGCATAATCCGAAACTTGGCACTATTCCAATCGCGAAGTGCAATAAATTGTTCGCAGACTTTAGAAGCGAAGCGTGAATAAAGACCTCGGTTCTGTGGCTTGTCTCAATCCCAATTTTGAACGCCCGGTTCCACACGTGATAATATTTCGCTCGTATATCGTTCGGTAATCAGAAAAGAATAATTAGGAAATAAGTCAATGAATCAAATGAGTGAATGTTCCATTGCCAATCGTAATTTTCTCTATTCTTCCCATATACGAACCATCCTCGCAGATGAACCGCGCCTTCTTCACTGCAACAGAAAAAGCAAAGAAAGGATTATACACATTGCAAGTCTTTAAAAGAAATAATAATATCTATATTTATTACGTTTAAACAACCTGAGTATGATTTTAAAAATCACAAGATTTGTGGAACACGTAAAATAAATTGCTATAATCGGCAGAAGGTTTATCATTAATCATCCCTTTGTGCAATTATTTTACTGTTTTTGCTATATAAAAAATTATTTACACTGTACAGGATGTTTACTGAAATTTATTTTAAAAAATCCCCGAGAATTTCTGAAAGTAATGTAATGTAACTGTTAATTGTAATTTCTCACTCGACAATATAATTGTAATACAATACATATATACATGACAGTTATATTGTTGAGGGAGGAATTATAACTATCCATTATGTTACTATTAATTGGTGTTTGCCATTATTTTCTACAATTGAGACCGCGAAATCTATATAGGACGGTATAGGCAAGGCTTACTACAATACAGTATCCGTAAACTACTCTATTCTTCTTGTCACCCAGATTTCTTTTATAAAAACTTACGATACACACGAGAGTGTACGTGAATATATGCGGACTTATTGCTAACCAATTGTCAACATTTTGCATTATCAAGAAAAAATAACGCGATAATATTTTAATAAGAAAGACAGAATTTAAATTTAAAAGTAAAATTCCTAAAATTTTCCTGAGTGCCGATAAAATGTCATAAATATCCTTCATTTTCAAAAATAGAAAAGAAACCCCCTATATAAATTCTAGGTTCTCCCAGGTAATAAACACCCTGCACTAATGTACTTATGGGTATTAAAGCGCGAATTATCGGACTACGCACATAATTACTCTGATCGATTACGCTTAATAAGATTTAAATAGACATATAGGTTATGCGCGATGTAAAATCAACCGCACGCCCGCGATAATTACCTTCGATATGTCACACGTGTGCGAACTAAAATCGAATTTTCGTCAAAGAAAATTTAATCCGCACATTACGTTCTTTTGTTGTAACCTGTATCGCGCGCCTATCGACTTTCCCGTCAATTATTTATAAAGGTCGTATTCCGCAAACGCATTACGGATTTAGCTAACGCGGATAAGTAAAACGGATCGAGTATTACAATCTGCCGGGGTTTGACAGTTCCTTTTTTAATACCCAGTCTAACGGATAGGTCACGGAACGACCTTGTCTATAAGAACGTACGTATGTACGCGAATGTAGTTGTGCAAGTGGAGCGCAACTCCGCCGTGCCGGTAGCGATTTGAAGCATTGACCTGTGCTAATAAATGCCAGTGTCTACACGAGTGTCGGAGTCTACACGAGTGAGTAACTGCCCTTAGGATTAATCCCGCCACCGCAACGAGAGACGGCAACATCCAATGTACGTACACAACGAAGGATTGGGGCGAGTGGATCGTGGGGATGAAGCGGGTCAGCCGTGTATCCGCAGGTCACAGTTCATCCCTGAGGATCCTTTCCCTCTGCCCGCGAGGTATTTTTCCCAGCTCGACAGACGCGCCTTTCTATTTTGTGCGCGCACGCATCGCGCGCGATTAATTAAGGGAGCGCGCTTGTGGCCACGGGAATATTCTTGTCGCTGTTATAAAATTGTCGCATTACGGTTGCAGGAATGAGCTAACGCTGATGTCACGCAAACAGAAGAGTACGCTATGGACGACGTATGGCGCCGGGAGAATAGTGAATCGGCTGTTAGGGCAGAAGATTCTTGCATAACGCATCAATCCTTGAAACACAATAGGTGTTGTAATCAACTTTGAGCTAGCTTAAAAAATTGACCTATTATAATTGATTATTATTCTCACATTCAACTATGACTGATTAATTTTTTAAGGCTTAAAGGCGGGAGCACAGATTCTTGCATAATACATTACGCATAAAGCAAGGAAATTAATCAGAGTCTTTTATTTTATGAAAGAAAAGGAAATGAAGGGCTTTAATTGGTTTATTTTTTTATGTATTGTATTATTATATGTTTATGTGTTGTATAAGATTCTGTGTTCCCACTCTGATGGACTTTCTACAACAAGCCATTATCTAAACTTTAAGTTTCAAGTCGTAAGAAATTAACTAATCACAGTCGAATGTGAGAAAAATAATCGACTATGACTGGTCAATTTCTTAAAACTTGAAACATGAAACTTATAGATAATGGCTTATTGTAAAAAGCCCATTAGGGTTACTATATGTATTGTGTTTCAAAACTAACGTATGAGGCACAAGAAAATCAACCAAGCAGTCCTTTATTTCAAAAGGAAGGAAATGAAGAACTTTGATTGATTCATTTTCTTATGCATTATATGCAAGACTTTGTGCTTCCGCCCTTACATCCACTTCCGTAGCCAAGAGGTAGTTGCTTGACAAGTGTTCAGTCTCTTTTTCCCTTCTTTTTCTCTTCTCTCTCTCTCCTCTCTCTCTCTCTCTCTCTCTCTCTCTCTCTATCTCTCTCTCTTTATCCAACTAAATAAACTTGCTAACGAATTTATTCTCACTCACTTAAAAGTAATCAAACTCACACAAACGGCGCGCCGTTAGCTTGCGCTTTGGCAGTCGGTCAGTTATGATTGAAATCCAATATGCAATGAGAAAATCGCGGAGAAATGCCGATATTAAACTGACTTAAAGGATGCTTCAGTGAAACGCAAATACCGCGTACACGCGTATATAGTACGTATCGATACTCGGAATAATTGCATTAATTCCGACGAGACGCAAGCGCGTTTCCGACATTTGGCCACATCCGGATCCTTCGGCATCACTTACAGTCCGTCATGCCGTTAACGACACGAGAGCGATGTGTACGGAAAACGTGCATTGGCGCAAAGTATTGTAAAATGAAGCGACGTTGTATCGGAGTTATATCGCGTGGAATTGATAGCTCGGGGCGAGACCGATGATGTACACAGCGGGTATAACAGGAGGATGCTCGCCTCACGTGTTCTATATGCACGCGCGCGTAGGCAGATGCATGCACGCGACGAAAGAAAAGTGAAACAATGACGTCAGCTTTAACGCTTCAGTTGCGATCTTTTACCTTCGAATAACTCGAGACAATGGACGCTCAGAGTATGAATACGTGCCAAGACCGTGGTATCGTGTCACACACGCGTGCGCACACACAAACGCGCACATATACACACGCATACATACAAGTATTAGAGGAACTCGTCCTCTACTGTGTTCCCTGTACAAACCCTTTGTATAGCACGTACACGTGCGGAGAACACGCGTATATACGTGACATACCGCTTACTTTTCATCCTGCAGCAGTTTCCTTCGGCGACGATGCCGCCGTGCTGTGCAAGTGGATGCAGAACGATAGCAACCGGCGTGGCGACGGATAGGAGGGAGGGTAAACGGGGTGGAAAAACCGAGAGCGTGCATCATATCTATATGTTATTTATAGGCCGGTATTAGAGGCAATATCGAGCCCTTATCAAGGCGTCGGCTCAAGTTCTGTCAGATGGCCAACCAGAGTTGTCACAAATTCCTCATCTTAAAATTCCATAACTTTCCTCTGATTTCCAGACAAAATTTCATGATTTTTCCCCTTACTTTCAATAATATATATTTTGAAATTTTTTATCTTTTCATCCCAATTTAGAAACCGTTAAATATTTTACTGAGAAATTAACTTAATATAGCAATGTAAATTACTATTAATATTGCTGACACTGCTTGCATTTTTAATTGTCAAATTAAAGCCAAGAATATTTATTTTCTAGAAAATTTTGCAAAATTTCCTGACGTTTTCCTAATTTCCCTGACCGTTTTCAATTTCCCTAACAATTCCCTGATTTCCCATTTCGTGGCAATCCTGCCAACATATATTTCTCTCTTAAAGTGCCAATCTTTAACCCCAGCTGATATCTCTGTACAAAGGTGAAATGGCCAGCGATCCTTCGGTTGACCTCTATTACGTTCCTCTACTATTACTGTTCTAGTGATATGGAATAGTATCATACAGACATTCAATGAATATTCTGAACATAGAATAATTCTTAACATAATGAATTCTCAACGAAGAATATTCTCTTCTTCTTGAAAAATACTTTCAAGCTTTTCCCAAGGTATTTCTCAGACAATATTCACTCGAGACATTCTCGGAGGCATATTATATCATTCTTTTAAAGGAGGTTGGCTTTACTTTATCGATCGCCGATTATTATTTCATTATGAAATGTAATTTAAAGCAATTCGAATGAATTTATATATATTACATAAAAAAGATATATACATATATTATATATAGTATGTATATATATTTTGAAAACTAGGGATAAGATTTTACGAAAAAATTTAGTCTACTCGTTAATGTTCGTATTTATCTAACTACTTGCATCCTACGTGTGCGTTTGCGCGAAATTCAATCGATGTAACGAGTATAACGGGTCATGGATGTACCTCGTAATATATGCACCTACGCTAGTTGTGCCCAATTAATCATTTTTTTTCGCGACGTGTCATAATGAGATCTCTTCTGAATGTATAATTAAAGATTGCAGAAGGCACAAAGAAAAAAACTTTTAGGAGAAAGAAGTGGAACGGTGGTGGAAAGTCGATTAACCCTCACCAGCCTCTATCCAGGCTGAAGGTACATGCGCAGCTGGCGCGAATGCGAGATGTTTAATGAAGCAAATCTCAGAGTAGCATTTCGAGTGCTATGAAATCAATTAACGTAGACACTCTCTACAGAAAGAGAGAGAGAGAGAGAGAGAGAGAGAGAGAAAATTTAATAAATTGTCAGACCGCTTTTTAATATATGCCTGAAAGAGATATTTTCACGATATTCCAAATCGTATAACAAATCGAAGAGTTCGCGTTATGCGCATGAAATATCGTATGCATCATCGTCAACATATGAATCACCACGCCAATTCCGGTCTACGAATTATCGATTATACATTTTCGATAAAATTCAAAGGTACGACTACATGGAGGAGGTTTATCAAATATTTTAAGAGAGGGAGAAAGAATGATCATCACC